GAAGAGCTTAAACTATTTCAGACAAAGAAAGAAAACATCATTAAAAATATCTTTAAAAATCTATGGAGAAATAAGATACTTTCAGCACAAAGAAAACCAGAACAAATTCATGAGCACCAAACCAACACTACAAAGAGTACTGAAAGACACTCTAGAAAGAGACAAAAATAGCTAGAATCCTAAGAACAACAGCAGAAGGAAACTGCTAAGCAGGGCAAACAACTAAACAGAAAAAGTAAAAAAATCAACAACAGAAAGATAACAGAGCACTGTTAAGTCAGTGCATATCAGTTATATCCATCAAGGTAAATGGTATTAACTCACAAACAAAAAGAAACAGGTAGGCAGAGTGGATAAAGAAACAAAATCTAACAACATACTGTGAACAAAAAACATATTCAACTCAAAAGAAAAGTCATATGACCGGGGGTTTAGCTTAGAGGCGTAAGTGCCTGCCTGGCAAATGTGTAAAGTTGTGAGTTTGATCCCCGTTACCCCCTCCACTCTAAAAAAGAGAAAGAAAAGATAAGAAAAAAGAAAATTCACAGACTAAAACTCAAAGGATGGAAGACAATACTCCATGCAACAGGAAACCAGTAAAAAGCAGGAGTAGCTTATTCATTGCAGACAATGTGAACTTCAAGCCAAGAATGATCAAAAGAGATAAAGATTACTGCGCACTTGTTAGTGGAAAAAATCAAGAGGAAGAGATTACAATCATAAATATATATATGCAACAAAAATAGGAACACAAAACTATATAAGACAAATCTTAATAGACATGAACAAATAATAATGTAGTTTTAATGGGGGATTTAACACTCCATTGTCACAAAGAGACAGACCAAACAAACAAAAAAAAAATAAGGAAAGAAATAACAGAACTGAATCAAACTTATGAACAAGTGGACCTAGTAGTTGTATGCTGAGTGTTTTACCCAACAACATCATAATACACACTCTTCTCAGTTGCACATGGGTAATTCTTTAAAACAGATCATATACTAGGCATCATAGGAGTGCAGGGGTGCTTCAAATTATGTAAATCAATAAATATAATGCACCATATCAATAGAGTCAAGAACAAGAATAGAAGATCATCTCAATAGATGTAAAAAAGCTTTCAACAAAACCCAACACTGATTCATAAAAACCTTCAGAAAATGGTAATAGATAATCTTTACCTCAATCAGATAAAAATCACCTATGACAAAACAAAAGCCAATATTTTATTAAATGAACAAAAACTGAAAACTTTCAACCTAAAATCAGAAACAAGACATCACCTTTGCCATTCAATATAGTTCTGGAAACATTAGATAGAGTAATTAGACAAGAGATAAAAATAAAAGGAATAAAGATAGGAAAGTAAGAAGTTAAATTATCATTATTTGCAGATGATATGGTACTCTACATAGGAGACATAAAAAACTCCATTGAAAGATGTAGTAACCATATTTAGTAATGTCCTGGATACAAGGTCAATACTTCAAATTCAATAGTGTTCTTGTATACAAACAGCAAACTCACTGAGATAGAAATAAGGGAAATCACACCCTTCACTATACCATCAATAAAAGAAGAAATTCTTAGGAATCAACTTAACAAAGGAAATAAAAAAATATATATACTGAAAATTGCTTTATGCTGAAAAAGAAAATTAAAGAGGATTTCAGAAAATGGAATGATATTCTCTGTTCTTGGATAGGAAGAATAGACATTGTGAAAATAGCCATTCTCCCAAAATTTTAGATAGTTTTAATGCAACTCCAATAAAAAATACCATTTGCATACCTCAAAGATATAGAGAAACTGTCCCTAAAATTCATCTGGAACCAGAAGAGATCTAGAATAGCAAATCAATTCTGGGCAACAAAGGTAAGACAGGCAGCATCACAATCCCCAATTTGAAATTATGTTACAAAGTTATTGTAATAAAATCAGCATGGTAGTAGAATAAAAACAGACCTGAAGATCAATGAAGTAGGTTGGAAGATACAGCCACAGCCACACAAACACATTCAGACACTTCATCTTAGACAAAGGGGCTAAACATGTGCACTGGAAGAAAGCCTCTTCAATAAGTGGTGTTGGAATAACTGGCTTTTCATATGCTGAAAACTAAAAATAGATCCATGTCTATCATCATGCACTAAAGTCAAAATCAAAGGTTTAAATACTAAAACATAAATACTAAATGGGCTAGAAGAAAAAGAGATAGAAATCTTGACAACATACAAATCGGCAGACAACTTATGAGTAAAAATCAAACTGCACAGAAAATACTTCCCAGAAACAACTAGGATCACATTTTATTAAAAATCTATTGCATATCAAAAGAAATCTCCAAAAGAGTGAAAAGAAAACCTACAAATAGAAAAAATACCTTAGCCAACTGTCCCTCAAATAAAGGACTTCTATCTAGAACTTATAGAAAATTTTTTTAAAATTCAGGTCCCCAAAATTGAAGAACCCAAACCAAAAATGAGCATCTGATATGAATACACACTTCTCAGATGAAGAAATACAAATAGAAAATAAATACATGTCTACATCTCTTATACTAAGCAATCCTTTTGGAGGTAACAATAAGCAATATTACAACCACTATCAAATTCCTATCATGTTGTTTTTGTAAACCTATACTGTTATTGTATTGGGTTTGTTGATTATTCATCACTTTTGCTCTTTGGTTTTCTTTTATGTATCTTTTTTCTCTTAAATGATAAATAAATGAATAAATTAATTAATTAATAATTCAGACTGCTAGTTTGATATTGCACCACTGAATATGGTAGCCACTAGCTACATGTAACTATTAGACACTTAATATCTAGTCTAGATTCACTTCTGCTGTAAGTGTGAAATGCATACCATATTTGCCAATTCAGGATAAAAAAGAATTGGAAATATTTCACTATTATTTTTTAAACTTACTAGATGTTGAAGTGGTAACATTTTGCATATATTGGGTTAAATAAAATACACTAATTCAATTTTGAAAAGTTTTTTAATTTGGTTACCATAAAATTTTAAATTATCTGTCTTATATTACAGTTATTTTAAATATTTCTAAGCAATGAATAATAAATATCTAGGTGTTATTAATGGTTCTTAAAGTCTGTAAGACTCATTACCATTACAAAAATTTTTTGTCAAGAATAGCAAAAATTGGCAAATGAAACTATATTAAACAAAATACTTTCATACATCAAAGGAAACAAGGAGAGTGAAGAGGTAACTTAAAAAATAAGAGGAAATACTCAAAACTATTTTTCCAAGGAGGGATTACTATCTAGACTATATATGGAATTCAACAACAAAGATACAAAGATTCCAAATAAAATGTAGGCAAATGCTCTGAATAAATATTGCTGGAAAATATATGTTACATAAACTAAACCTGTGTAACTTAATGAGATCCTATCTCAAAAGAAAATGAATTACTTAATTAGTTTAAAAAATGGATGAGGACACAGCTCAGTGCAAAGTCTTTTTAGACCCTAGTACCACAAAAAAGATATACATATAATTGGCAAAGCTGTGAAAAAATAATCACCACTAATCACTAGAAACATGTAAATCAAACCACAAGCAAATGCCATCTTACACCAGTAAGAATAATTATTATACAAATGACAAAAATACTAAATGCAGAAGAAAAGGAGTGCTCTTACACTGTCTGTGGGAATGTAAATTATTATAGTTTCTATGGAAAACAGTACAGAGGCACCTGAAAAAACTAAAAATAGAACTGCTATATAATCCAGCAATCCCTGTACTGGTTGTGTTTCCAAAAGAAATGAAATAGTTATACCAAAGAGACACGCATCCATGTTTATTGCAGCACTATGCAAAACAGTCAATAAATAGAATCACTTGAGATGTGCATTGACAGATGAATGGATTTTAAAATATGACATATATTCTCATGAAGCATTATTCATTCACAAAAAGGAGTGAGGTTCTTTCCTTTGTAAGAATATAGATGGCAATGTGGTATATAATGTTAACTGAAAAAAATCAGATACAAAGTAAAATATCAACAGGTTCACATTCATATGTAGACGCTAAAATGTTGATCTCATTGAAGTAACGAATAGAATAATGGTCATCAGAACCTAATAAGAGTGTTAAGGAGAGGGGCAATGGCTACAGAGCACAGCAGAGGTGCTAAACAGGAGAAAGTTCTAATACTGTATAGCACAGTGTAATAACTGTGGCTGTCAACAATTAAATATATTTTTCAAAACAGTTAGTAGGGAATGCTTTTAATGTTCCCAATGCAAAGTAACAATAAATATCTGAGGTGACAAACATGCCAAATGTCCTGATATGATTGTTGCACATTGTATGGAAAGTCAAACAACTCACAGATATGTACAATTGTAATGTATTAAGTAAAAATAAAAATACAATTTAAAAACTGTCTACATATGTAATCAGCAGTCAATTTTCTGTGCTTAAGAAAAAATAATGTGGAAAAATACAGTGAATCTGGAAATATACTTAAGTTGACTTTAGATATGCATTCTATCCAGATTTACATTTTTAGTTTTATTTAATAGAGAAAATATGACATTACCTCAGTTTACAAATTTAGTTCTTTCCATGATTCTGGTCTCAAACTGAACTGGATGAGAAGTGAATCAAATTCAGTTATTAAGGTCAAGGTTAATCTTATGCAGAAAGTTGATTCAGTTTTTCACCCAACTCAGTTTGTGACCAGAATTGTGGAAAGAATTGGTTCATGAACTAAGGCACCACTGTAGTACTATATAGCTTGAATTCATTTGAACATATAAGAAAGAATCATTAGGCCAGAAGCATGGTAGACAAGAATTAGTGTATTCTTACTTCAATCCATAGAGCTCAAGTAATCAAAACAAATGCCATCATGACACTGCAAACATACAACAGAACATAACAAAGATTTTAGCAACTGAAGATGAATGCAAAAAAAAAAAAAAAAAAAAAAACCAAAATACGTGTGACTATACCTTTGCTCCATCTGAAATATTGTCCCAGTTTCCACCATTGAAAGAGAACTTTCCATTGCCTATATGCATCAATATGTCTTCAGGAGTATCATTGGGTCCATTAGCAAATGGAATGTAGCTATGAACAAAACACATTTTAATACATATGAGATGGTAATATAAATATAACTGACACTAATGAGTTTTATACTAATATAGTATAAAACTATATATATTATATATAGTATAAAACTAATGTACTAATATAGTATAAAACTATATACAAACATTTACTAGAGCAAATTGAAAGCATAATATATCTGTCTTCACTGTTAATATCAAATTTTACATTTCAAACAATATATTTAATTATAAAACATTATTTAATAAAGTGGAGAAATTTACCTACATCAATTCTTTTTCTTTGATCAGTTGTGAAATGTAAAATAAAATAAGCCACACAATTTTCTTTTTTCCCTGACATGAATTACCAAGTATATATATAACATGAATTACCAAGTATATATATATAGTATATTTATTGCTTTATCTCAATTTGTTCATTCTTTTACTTTTATATTATTAGTGCAACTGGATAAACAATATTTTCAATTCATGTTGTAAAATGACAAAATATTTATATAAATACAATAAAGATTTCACAAGTATTAAGATTACAATATAAGGCAGCTATTCAAGAGTGGAATGATAAATGTTTAAATTAAAATGATTTTGAAAAGTACTTATAGAATGATAAAAAGTGATCATGTTTAACAAAGAACTGAAGCAAATATTCAATTTTGCCAGTTTGACGACTGACATAGTTAAAAGTTGGAAGAAGGGAATGAATCAGCATCTTAATTTGCTCATCTAACATAAAACTGAGAAAATACTAAATATACAAAAGTATCACAAACACTTCTTTTTTTCTCATAATGTATATACTTCAAAGTAGCAAACTAGGGATAGTATCATAAGGTTTAAAACCAAGAAATTTGATTCTATTTTCATGTAAACTTTATCTACCTGTGCTGTGCTTTATAACTAAACATTGTGCCTAATTTTGTAGTGTATAAAAAGGCACACAAACTACACTTATATGTACACATTTTATGATGAATTATTAATTTAAAGTCCTCAGTTTGATAACATACCAATTTGTGTAAATGTTGATGTACCAGTTAAAATTTAATTTAATTTATTAGATATAAGTGATTACTAAATACAATATATTTGCTTGTAAACCTGGGCTCTTTCCTTATGAGAATAATCTCAGTAGCCATAAGTCTGCAATTTTATCTAAAAGTGTTACTCATAATTAAAAGCAAAAAAGTATTTATACTATTTGTAAATTGTCAATATAAACAGAGTATAATTATAGTATTTGTTTGAGCATGCTTTTAATGTTGACACTGACTATTCAATTTTCAAGATGAGGAAATTAAGATGAATTTTACTTACTTTTCCCAACATCACAAAACTTCTCAGAAGTAAAGCAGGTGTTCTGACTCTAGACCCTGTGCCTTTAATGGCTATGATAACTGGTCCTCACTATACTAGAGATGGTAGGATAATAAATGCTTTTAAAAATTAAAACAAGTTTACATACAAGACTGATGTAGAAAATAGTAGTATATTTGCAAAACATTAGCATGGATTTTTAATGATAAAATGCTAAAATATTAACATTTTATTCAGAAAATTGCAAGGCATTAATAATGAGTATATAACTATCTTAAAGTTCAAGATACAATGTGATTTTCCTGCTTAAATGTATTTGTAACAACACATAAGCAAAACTGAGAAGCTACGGATTTTTTAGTGTTATTATTTTTAAAAATTCTGTATTATTTCTATGCTTTTTTTGTATTGCTTTGTTTCTCTAAGTAAAAAAAGAGTGTATATTGCTGCCCTAAGTAAATAATACAAGCAGGTACTCCAAAAACCCTAATAAATAACAATGTAGAGATATACTATTCACATCATGGCAAATGTAAAATGACATGCTCTAGTAATTAATCAAAACTACTTTTTTATTGTATCTGTCTCTTTCTCAATACCTTTTATAGTTCTAGAGAATTACATTTTCCCTTAAAAAGTATTTGAAAGCTTTCCTGAAATTTCAATGCATACAAACTCTTAAAGGCCACTACTTAGGAGAGGTGAGGATTTACATACTCTTTCAGGTCACAGTGGCACACACTTGTAATACCAGCCAGACAAGAGTATGATACAAGAGAATCACTTGAGTATAGAATTTGAAAGCTAGTCACGGCAACTCAGTTCTTGTCTCAAAAAAGAAGATACAGCATTCACCCCTGCCATATTTCCATAACCTTCATGGTTATGAGAAGAAAAGAACTACACTGAAGGTGTCACATTGCTTTATTAGGGCTAGCTGCAAAAACCTAGATTTAGATTTAGTATTCACTTAAACACATTTTGCATGGAAGAAGAAGTTGCAGTTCACTTTTGTTCTATAGTTAGTCTCAATGCCCTACAAGAGTGAAAATATGTAATCATAAAATGAAATAAGACAATGAATTGGAAAGAATAAAAAATATGTAGTGAAAAGGCTATGTTTCACAATGCTTTTTACTTGCATCAAGTTAAATACAAAGACAAAAATAGTAATAATGTGGGAGCTAATGCCATAACCCTGTCTTTCATTTGGCTTCCTAAATCTGCCAAAAGGAACATACATAGAATTTCTTATTACCCTTGCTTTGCAGTTTAAATCAATTCACATTTGGAGTAAAACATGAAAGCCCACGATCTCAGGGAACAATTTCAATATTATTTTTTTAACTTTTTAAAACTTTTTATTGGTACCTGGGATTGAACTCATGATCACCTGCTTGCAAGGCAGGTGCTTATGCTGCTGAGCTAAATCCCCAGCCCCTCAATATTATTTTATCAAGAACTGTAAATACCACATTCTTGAGCTTTAGTAAAGCTTTATTAGTTCAGGAATAGTCATAGTGCTCAGCAGATATTCTAAATCTGCTGAAAAACAAATGGATTTGCCTTCATAAAAGAATAAAGTAATTTGGAGATGTATTAACTTTTGTGACATATATACATAGGAGGCAAAAATATATGAAATGAATTCCAATAGGTTAAGCAAAATAATGCATATCCTACAAAGGGAATAAACGTTCTCTCTTTACTGTTAAAGTAACAATTATCAGACTTTCTCTTAGCAAATCAGGGAGCTTTGTACACTGTGATGAAATAATGAATAGACAGTCCCAAAGATGCTATTGTTCATTCAACTATCTGATGACTTTTGGATTATAGTTTAAAAGAATACATCTTATGTACTTCTTTTTTAACTTTTGACAAGGTCTGAAATTCTGGAAACAAATACTGCCAAAAAATGATCTCTTTGATTTACTTATAACAAATTAGAAATATATGTTTGTTGTTAGCAAGGGCTGTATCACTTGATAAAACTTTTAAAAGCATTTCAAAAGTATAAATAACAAACAAAAGTAACTCATGAAGTAGTTATACAGACCTGATCTTCATATACCCACCTCAAGACTTTCATAATTACACTGATAAAAGTGTCTTACTACAGTGGAAGTTTGATAAGACAAATAGCTATAGTCTGCTCTATATTGCCACTCATTTAAAATGTTTTTTGAAATATTAATCCTAAAATGTTTACTTAATCATTGATCTAATTAGAGACATGCCAACATACAGTATTTTTCACTTTAAATATCAATTTTACACATGTTCATTTGGGACACATTTCCCTCAATGTCTTTGCAGTAAGAAATTTCTGCAGGAGTTTGGGGAAATACTGTAGCTTGATAGTGGGCTGGATGGAGAGCTTCTATGGGGAAAGCAGCTCAGATGCTAGAATTTGACAGCATGGAGGGGGCCAGATGATTGGAGGATGATTTTTACTAAGCCAGGAGAAAACCAAAGGGAAAAATAAAATTAGGAAGAGGAAGGAAAAGCATGGACAGAGGGCTGTAGTCTGACACGCTCACTGAGATCCATTCTGCGCTGTGCTGGGTGAACCCTAGAGTCTGAGGATCCATGCCTCTGATTGGGACCCAGTAGCCAGGGGTAAAAAGGTCACAACTCTGTGATGTCCACAAGATACAGCCTAAGTTGCTGAAGGAAATTGTGGGTTGACTGGCTCAGAGGCTCAAGATTAGCTTGCACCATTCCTGCATCCCTGCATGTACCTCAGATAACAGCAAATTGAGGAGGGCAGAAAAACCCCAGTCAGCACGCTTTGGAAAGACCCTAAGCAATACGGAGAGGGCCAGAGACCCCCAGGACACACTTGTGTGAAAGAAACCAGAAACGTGACAAGAGAAACAATTTAAAAAAAATACCTCCAGCTGCTGACCCTGGGAAAATCAGCCCAGGAGAGGTAAATACAGAAGACAACCAGGGCAATCATCATGCAATATTAGACACAGCATCAGCAGACATAAAGGAATACCTTTGTGACCTCATAGACACATATAAAACTGTACTTCTGATCAAACTGAGGCAAGATATAAAAAGATTCATTAAAGAAAAGATAAGCCCTGCCCAAGAGAACACCAATGGAAGAACAGAGGAACTCAGAAAAGAAAGAAAAACATTTAATGAAGAATATAAACAAAATCTAGAATACATAAACAGATCTAAAGAGATTACAAGGAAACTAAAACTCCATTGAAATCTGGCAAAATGCCTTGACAGAAACTAAAGTTAGCCTTTCAAAACTTGAAGAGAGATTTATGATGTGTGATTATGAAAGAAAAGATCCCTTAAAAATAACAATGAACCAGGAAGAAACAATTCAAAGGCTAGAAGATGACAAAAGGCTTTATAATTTAAGAATAAAAAACATGAGCAAAGAAGCAGGAGTAACCACTAATGAACTCCAAAGACTATTCACAGTTATAATTAAGGAAAACTTGCCAAGTATAGGAAAAATAAATGATATCCAGATAAATGAGGAATGCAGTACTCCAGCCACCTACATACAAAACAGATCTACACCCAGACATATAATCATCAAGATTCCAGAAATCCACCACAAGAACAGAATATTAATAGTGGCCAGAGAAAAGAAGCAGGTCACCTACAAAGGACAAATCATCAAAATAATGACAGACTTATCAT